CTCACTCACTCACTCACTCACTCACTCACTCACTCACTCACTCACTCACTCACTCACTCACTCACTCACTCACTCACTCACTCACTCACTCACTCACTCACTCACTCACTCACTCACTCACTCACTCACTCACTCACTCACTCACTCACTCACTCACTCACTCACTCACTCACTCACTCACTCACTCACTCACTCACTCACTCACTCACTCACTCACTCACTCACTCACTCACTCACTCACTCACTCACTCACTCACTCACTCACTCACTCACTCACTCACTCACTCACTCACTCACTCACTCACTCACTCACTCACTCACTCACTCACTCACTCACTCACTCACTCACTCACTCACTCACTCACTCACTCACTCACTCACTCACTCACTCACTCACTCACTCACTCACTCACTCACTCACTCACTCACTCACTCACTCACTCACTCACTCACTCACTCACTCACTCACTCACTCACTCACTCACTCACTCACTCACTCACTCACTCACTCACTCACTCACTCACTCACTCACTCACTCACTCACTCACTCACTCACTCACTCACTCACTCACTCACTCACTCACTCACTCACTCACTCACTCACTCACTCACTCACTCACTCACTCACTCACTCACTCACTCACTCACTCACTCACTCACTCACTCACTCACTCACTCACTCACTCACTCACTCACTCACTCACTCACTCACTCACTCACTCACTCACTCACTCACTCACTCACTCACTCACTCACTCACTCACTCACTCACTCACTCACTCACTCACTCACTCACTCACTCACTCACTCACTCACTCACTCACTCACTCACTCACTCACTCACTCACTCACTCACTCACTCACTCACTCACTCACTCACTCACTCACTCACTCACTCACTCACTCACTCACTCACTCACTCACTCACTCACTCACTCACTCACTCACTCACTCACTCACTCACTCACTCACTCACTCACTCACTCACTCACTCACTCACTCACTCACTCACTCACTCACTCACTCACTCACTCACTCACTCACTCACTCACTCACTCACTCACTCACTCACTCACTCACTCACTCACTCACTCACTCACTCACTCACTCACTCACTCACTCACTCACTCACTCACTCACTCACTCACTCACTCACTCACTCACTCACTCACTCACTCACTCACTCACTCACTCACTCACTCACTCACTCACTCACTCACTCACTCACTCACTCACTCACTCACTCACTCACTCACTCACTCACTCACTCACTCACTCACTCACTCACTCACTCACTCACTCACTCACTCACTCACTCACTCACTCACTCACTCACTCACTCACTCACTCACTCACTCACTCACTCACTCACTCACTCACTCACTCACTCACTCACTCACTCACTCACTCACTCACTCACTCACTCACTCACTCACTCACTCACTCACTCACTCACTCACTCACTCACTCACTCACTCACTCACTCACTCACTCACTCACTCACTCACTCACTCACTCACTCACTCACTCACTCACTCACTCACTCACTCACTCACTCACTCACTCACTCACTCACTCACTCACTCACTCACTCACTCACTCACTCACTCACTCACTCACTCACTCACTCACTCACTCACTCACTCACTCACTCACTCACTCACTCACTCACTCACTCACTCACTCACTCACTCACTCACTCACTCACTCACTCACTCACTCACTCACTCACTCACTCACTCACTCACTCACTCACTCACTCACTCACTCACTCACTCACTCACTCACTCACTCACTCACTCACTCACTCACTCACTCACTCACTCACTCACTCACTCACTCACTCACTCACTCACTCACTCACTCACTCACTCACTCACTCACTCACTCACTCACTCACTCACTCACTCACTCACTCACTCACTCACTCACTCACTCACTCACTCACTCACTCACTCACTCACTCACTCACTCACTCACTCACTCACTCACTCACTCACTCACTCACTCACTCACTCACTCACTCACTCACTCACTCACTCACTCACTCACTCACTCACTCACTCACTCACTCACTCACTCACTCACTCACTCACTCACTCACTCACTCACTCACTCACTCACTCACTCACTCACTCACTCACTCACTCACTCACTCACTCACTCACTCACTCACTCACTCACACACACACATATATCACACACATACTCACTCACTCACTCACGCACGCTCGCTCGCTCACACTCACTCACTCACTCACTCACACACACACATATATCACACACACTCACTCACTCACTCACTCACTCACTCGCACGCTCGCTCGCTCGCTCGCTCACACTCACTCTCTCACTCACTCACTCACTCACACACACACACATATATCACACACATACTCACTCACTCACTCACTCACTCACACACCCACACACACACATATCACATACATACTCACTGACTCACACACACACACACACACACTCACTCACTCACTCTCTCACACACACACACACACTCGCTCACTCACTCACTCACTCACTCACACACACATATATGTCTGTGTGTGTGTGTGTGTTCAGACTCCTGCAGGCCAGAAGAGCTCGTGATCAGTGTCGTTCTGATATGAGGGATCTGCAGCAGCAGCTGTCTGACATCCATGATGAGTTAGACAGCGCTAAGAGCTGCAAGGCCGGAGAGAGAGACAGGCTGCTGCAGGTACAACCTCTGACCCCTTCATTTTCATGGAATGATTTGTGTGAGGTTAGAATCTCTCCGTCCGTCTCTCAGGATCTGTGTCAGTTGCATGGGGAGTTCGAGGCCCTGCAGCAGGTGCAGGAGGAGCAGGAGGAGGCGCTACACCGGAGGGACAGTGAGCTGAAAGCCCTGCGGGGGGCGCTAGAGGAGGAGATCTCAGCTCACGCCAGAGATGTGGAGGCGCTGCAGGAGGAGCACCAGCAGGAGATCCACAGACTCCTGGAAGCCACACAGGAGGCCAAAGAGGCATGTTTCTATATTGTGTTTCATTTCAGTTCACTTTTATTTAATGTACAGTCTATTGTATGTAGCTCTATAGAATTAAAGCTGACTTGACGCCCCTCCATCCTCTTCCTCTGCTCCAGAGTGTGGCTCTGCTGGGTCAGAAGGTTCTGGAGGTGGCTGCAGAGAAAGGAGCCGATCAGACGCTGATCTCAGAGCTGAAGCAGACTAAAGCCGAGCTCCAGCAAAAGATCTGCACTCTGGAGGAGCAGATCTCCTCCCTCCACCATCTCATTCAGCAGAAGCAAGAGCATGAGAAGCTCCTGACAGCACGTGTGGAGCAGCTGACGGTGAGAATCAGCAACCTGTTAAAGCTGCAGTATGAACAGTACCAGTTTCAGTACCAGGTTTTTTTCTTGATGTTCAGATGGAGAAACAGAATCTGGAGGAGGAGCTGCAGGAGGTCAGACAGCAGGAGGAGGACATGTGTGGAGCCAACCGAGCCCTGATGAGACACCTGGAGGACACACAGGTAACCTGTCTGTCCATCCGTCCATCTGTCCATCCGTCTGTCTCTCTGTCTCTCCGTCAGTCTGTTCATCTGTCTGTCTGTCCATCTGTCTCTCTGTCTGTCTCTGTCTGTTCATCTGTCTGTTTGTCCGTCCATCTGTTCATCTGTCTGTCCATCTGTCTGTCTGTCTGTCTGTCTGTCCGTCCGTCCGTCCATCTATCTGTCCATCTATCTCTCTGTCTGTCCGTCTGTCCATTTGTCTGTCTATCCGTCCGTCTGTCTGTCCATCTATCTCTCTGTCTGTCCGTCTGTCCATTTGTCTGTCTATCCGTCCGTCTGTCTGTCCATCTGTCTGTCTGTCTCTGTCTATCTCTCTGTCTGTCCATTTGTCTGTCTGGCTGTCTGTCTGTCCATCTGTCTGTCTGTCTCTGTCCATCTCTCTGTCTGTCCGCCTGTCCATTTGTCTGTCCATTTGTCTGTCTGTCTGTCCGTCCGTCTGTCTGTCCATCTGTCTGTCTATCTCTCTGTCTGTCCATCTGTCTGTCTATCTCTCTCTGTCTGTCCGTCCGTCTGTCTGTCTGTTTGTCTGTCCGTCCATCTGTTCATCTGTCTGTCCATCTGTCTGTCTGTCTGTCTGTCCGTCCGTCTGACTCTGTCTGTCCGTCTGTCTGTCCATCTGTCCGTCCGTCCATCTATCTGTCCATCTATCTCTCTGTCTGTCCGTCTGTCCATTTGTCTGTCTATCCGTCCGTCTGTCTGTCCATCTGTCTGTCTGTCTCTGTCTATCTCTCTGTCTGTCCATTTGTCTGTCTGTCTGTCTGTCTCTGTCCATCTCTCTGTCTGTCCGTCTGTCCATTTGTCTCTGTCTGTCTGTCCGTCTGTCTGTCCATTTGTTTGTCTGTCTGTCTGTCCATTTGTCTGTCTGTCCATCTGTCTGTCTATCTCTCTGTCTGTCCGTCTGTCCATTTGTCTGTCTGTCCGTCCGTCTGTCTATCTCTCTCTGTCTGTCCGTCTGTCCATTTGTCTCTCTATTCGTCTGTCTGTCTGTCCGTCCGTCTGTCTGTCCATTTGTCCATCCGTCTGTCTGTCTCTGTCTATCTCTCTGTCCGTCCATCTGTCTGTCTCTGTCTATCTCTCTGTCTGTCTGTCCGTCCGTCTCTGAGCTTCCTCCAGAGCTGCTTTATAGATTAGTTGAACTCATTTAGGGCTGAAATGATTATTCGACATTATCGACAATAAAAAATTGTCTGCATATAGTTTTGTTGTTGTCGTTTGATTTGCAGATTTTTTTGTAGTCGTTTGATCTTATATGATCTCATAGTCGTTTGAGCTCCCATGTAGGCCCTGCAATAATGCGGTTTAGATGAATATGTAAATATGTGCTGCACGCATGGGCGTTGGAACCATTCTATATGGGTGGGACAAGACCCACCCACTTTTTAAGACCAATGATATTGGAACCACTTACTTTTACTGTTTCTAATTCTGTGTTTTAGCTACAGCTTTGACTTCCACGCTGCTGCTTCCTCAAATCCATTCCGCTCATTCAGAGTCCATATAAATTAAACTACATTCCGTGTTTTCACTTCTTGCACCTGCTGCACTTCCGTGACACCAGTGGTGCCTGCAGGTGTACGGCTGTATGCACTACCATGAGTACCATGAGCACTTCGGCTGACCTGACCTGTTCGTCTGCCCTGCAAATATTTCAGCAGTTATGATGTGTGTCCCGTATTTCTGTCAAGTGAGCTAGCCATACCACAAATTATGGATTAATCATTTTTTTGATTATGAATCATATGAAGCGTTCCTCCGTCATTAAAACAAACAGTATCGAGATACTTAAGAACACATATAACAAGTAGGTCTGGATGAAGTAGACTCTAGAGTAGACGTTCAACTCTAAACGCAGTAAAACACGTTGTAAATGGAAACCTTTTACGCTGTTTCGCCAATGTTAGTATTACAGCTTCATCTTTAGCACCTCTGTAAAACCAGACCTGAAGGGAATTATTATATTTGTGGGTCTTTGGTATCAAACAGTTTGAAAAACCACTGATCTGTGGACAGCGCGTACTGTCTCTCTCACACACCAGACATTTACACGCAAGTGACTAAAATAAAAAACACACTCTTTCTCTTCCTCTCTATCTCTTTAATAACTGCATAGCAACGCCTACAAATAACTGAAACAAAAGACTACTTATTGAGGCTAACTTTGAGAAAATTAAGCTGTGTCATGAATAAGCAGTCATTCACCGACAGTAGGCTATTTCAAGTTTCTTTTTTTTCAATCGTGAATATCCACTTCATCAGCATTGTTTTGTTCTCTGTTGTTGTTTAACAGCTGTGAGCATGCTGATGGATGTATTTTATCATTTCGTTGATTTTTGCTGTTTTCGTGCAGTTTTTAAAAGGTTTAAAATGCGTTACACCTTCGTTCTGCTCAGTGTTGCTGTCACTGATCGTTTGGTCCTCAAGCCTTAAAGTTACATACTCACGATATTGAAGGGAATTGAACATTTAAGTGCTGTTTTTGACCACAAAAAAAAAGTCTGTGTGTACCCTCAGATGAAATCCAGCAGGCGCCCCTGTGCGACACAGCAAGCCAAACAAAGCATCTTAGCATATCTGCTGCTCGGGTGGGTCTGTGTGCTCGCATATGGTCTCTAAACAAGCTGCTATTTAAATTAATCTTCATCAGTTGTTCGCCTGTTGCTTTTAAAGGCATCATATAGTCTTTGTTGCAGCACTGAATTACAGTTACACTTACACTTTGTTGTTATAATGCTAACATACTCCAGTAAAATGTTTCTGGGGGAGGACCCACCCACATTTTTTGCTTTCCTCTGAATAATGAAATAAACACAACAAAAATGACAGCGGTGAAAAAACAGCAGTTCAGAAAGCATCTGATCATAGCGATGTGATTTTTGCACCAGCTCTGCAGTCGGCCCTCCAGTTAAGTCACGTATATATATAGTGATTTATACAATAGATTGATTTAAATCAAGCAGCTTTACAGTATTAAACATGAAAAACAGTGTCAAGTGTTGTTTTCATTTACAATTGCAACTTGATATTCTGTTATAAAGCAGCTCTCCGGTGTGAATCTTTTTATTAGTTATTGCAAAGAAGAAGAAAAAAAAATCATATTACATTAAAGTCACATTTTGGTTTGCAGAGTTTAAAGCTTAAAGGGGTCATATAATGCGATTAAATTTTTTTCCTTTCTCTTTGGAGTGTTACAAGCTCTTGGTGCATAAAGAAGATCTGTAAAGTTGCAAAGACTAAAGTCTCAAATCCAAAGAGATATTCTTTATAAAAGTTCAGAGTCAGCCACGCCTACCTAAAATGGCTCGTTCTAACACGCCCCCACATATCTACCTCACTGTGTGGGAAGATTTGCATAACGCCGCCCAAATGTTCACGCAAAGAAAGAAGGCGTAACTTTTATTCTCGCTGTAGTATTGTTGCCGCTGCAGCCATGTCGTGAAGGCACTGTGTGCTTCCTTGTGAAAGCGAAACTACTTTGTTTGGTCTTCCAAAAGAAGATGATATCCACTTCATCATGCCTACAGCTGATCCGTGCTGGTCGCTGAGGAAATACATCAACTTAGTGCTGTGGATCGCCGGATCGGCTTTCACCGTGGACGAAGCAGAGTCCAGCCCGAATGTTCTTTTTTGCAGCATCATATGACCCCTTTAATCTAGCTCAGGACTGTTTTGAGTATTATAACACTATAATGTATTATAAAGAGTGCTAATGTTGTGAATAAAATAATGTATCCAAAACTAAAATGTCTTATCACTTACCATTATTTTGTTCCATATCTGTATGACTTACAAAAAGAGATGTTAGACAGAATGAGTTACTTTGTCATACAGTTTAAATAGTGAATGAGAAAGTCTCTGTCCGTCATCTCATTTTGTATGCCAAATATATTTATTTGTATTGTAAAAAATAACTGTATAATAATTGAAAATGTACAATAATAATACAATTGTTTGACGGTTTCAAAATCTGAAGCGATTACCTTGTTTATGTATTAGTTAGAATATGTGTAACTCAATATTTGAACTCATTGTAAAAGCTGAATAATCCATCAAACCTACTGATTAATCTGTGAAATAATTGGCGATTAGTTGTTCTAATAATCGTTAGATTAATCGATTATCAAAATAATTGTTTGTTGCAGCCATAAACTCATTCCATAATTGATGAACTTTGCACAATTATTAAACTGAACTGAATCAACGATGAACTGCCTTTAACTGAAATATTGACTGTTTACCCTTGTCCACTTTCTAGAGCTGCTTTTCAGCAGAATTGAATTGTGCTTGCATTATCGTCACTATTTTCCTGTTTAATACTGTAACGCTGACTTGATACAGTCTGTATGGTATAAAGCGCTATAGAAATAAAGCTGACCTGACTTGTCTGTGTCTCAGAGTGAGCTGAGCAGGTTGACTCGAGCTCACCGTGAGCTGAAGGAGAGGTATGAGGAGGAGCGCCGTCAGATAAAGGAGCTGCAGAGGAGACGCAGTGAGTTAGAGGAGCAGAGGAGGAGCCAGGACCGAGTGTTAGAGCGGCTGCAGGAGGAGGTGAGCGGAGACACGCGACTCCCGTCTGATGGAGGAGTCGCTCTGATCTCACTCATTCTGTGTGTGTGTGTGTGTGTAGATGAGCGCGGCGGTGATGGGATCGGAGCAGGAGACGCAGAAGCTGCAGGAGGAGGTGGACACGCTCAGAGATCAGAGCCAGAGAGAACTGGACACACTACACACAGAGCTACATGATACACACACACAACTACAGACACACACTCACGCCACACTGGAGTACCAGAGAGAGGTGCGCACACTCACTCACTCTCTCTCACACACACACACACACACACACTCACTCTAACACACACACACTCACTCTCTCTCTCACACTGGCTCTGTTTGGTGTTCCTGTCATCATATTTGGTGTGTGTGTGTGTGTGTTCAGCGGTGTGTGTTGGAGGAGAAACTCTCTCGCTGCGAGTTTGATCTGAATGAGGCGGAACTGAAAACTCAGCAGCTGCAGAAGAGAATAAAAGAGCTGGAGGAGAAACAACAAACACATGACGACAGACACAGCAAACTCATGGAGGTATACACTCACACACACTCTCTCACATACACACACACACACACACACACACACACACACACTCACTCACTCACTCACTCTCACACACACACACACACACACACACACACACACTCACTCACTCACTCACTCTCACACACACACACACACACACACACACACACACTCACTCACTCACTCACTCTCACACACACACACACACACACACACACACACACACACACACACACAAACACACTCAAACACACACACACACACACACTCTCTCTCACAGACTCACACACACTCACACACACACACACACACACACACAGTATTCTGAACTTTAGTCTCCAGTTGATTTCAGAAGATCATGTATTTAAAGTGTGTGTGTGTGTGTCCAGGTGCGAGTGTGTGAGCTGGAGCGGAGTGTGTTAGAGGAGCGCAGCAGCTCAGACGCGCTCATGAAGAGACTGGAACGAGGACGAGAGCAGGTCTCACACACACACACACACACACCGGACAGACAACATCTCTCAGCTTGAGTGTGTGTGTGTTTGATGTCTGCAGATCATGGCAGAAACTTTGTGTGTGTGTGTGTGTGTGTGTGTGTTTAAGTAGGTCGTGATTGTGGTCAGTGTCTAATGGACTGTGTGTTTCTGACCCGCTTTAAAGCGCTCTAGTTCTTTATTTCTGGGCTTCATTCAGCTGTGTCTCATTAATTGGAGTCGCTCAGTTTTGTTCCAGTCAAACACAAAGAAAGCACAGACACGCTCAGAATAACACACACACACACACACACACACATCACTAGCAGTTTCATAAGGCCACAGATTAATGCATTCACATGAATAATGACAAGCACAGTTATGATACACGAATACTGTGGAGAGAACATGATGAATGCTCAATCCACAGAAATCCGTGTGTTGTATGTGTGTGTGTCAAGTAAAGTCAAGTCACCTTTATTTGTATAGCACTTTCTACAATACTGGTCGTGTCATAGCAGCTTTACAGTTTTAAACAGGGAAATAGTTTGTCAGTAATGTAAGAAGACAATAACAGAGTCATTTTTCAGCTAAAGTCAGTTGATTCAGTGATGTCATCATCCAGTTCAGCTTTCTTCTAATAGTGTCTAATAGTGTCCAACTAAGCAAGCCAAAGGCGTGTGTGTGATATATATATATATATATGTCAGATGGAGCAGGTGAGAGCTGAAGTGCTGCAGGAACGAGCTGCTCGACACGAGCTGGAATGTGACAAGATCCGTCTGGAGCGACAGGTGAACGACTTCACTCACATATGTGACCCTGGACCACAAAACCAGTCATAAGGCTGAGATTGAGATCATTGAGATTTCAGATGAGACACAATCTGAAAACTGAATAAATCAGCTTTCCATTGATGTATGGTTTGTTAGGATCGGACAATATTTGGCCGAGATACAACGATTTGAAAATCTGGAATCTGAGGGTGCAAAAAAATCTAAATATTGAGAAAATCATCTTTAAAGTTGTCCAAATGAAGTTCTTAGCAATGCATATTACTAATCAAAAATTAAGTTTTGATATATTTACGGTAGGAAACTTACAAAATATCTTCATGGAACATGATCTTTACTTAATATCCTAATGATTTTTGGCATAAAAGAAAAATCTATAATTTTGACCCATACAATGTATTGTTGGCTATTGCTACAAATAAACCCCAGCGACTTAAGACTGCTTTTGTGCTCCAGGGTCACATTTATGAATATAATTCATATAAATTCATTTTCATTTAGTAAATTCATTTAGTATAAAATCATGCATTTCATTGAAATATATATAATATATCTCTCAGTTTTCCAAACAGGGCTTTATGATTTAATAATTAAATTGAATGTGAAAAAAAAGAAAGAATTAAACTGAAATCGCAGTATATCTGTGCTGTGAGATTAACATGCCTGCAGGAACATGCTAAATTCACTTTATTTACACATTCACATGATATTCAACTTCTTTCTGAACAGATGTTTACAGCATTTCACCAATATTCTGCCAAAATTAAAGCCTGAAGATTTAAACTTTAAAAATTAAGAATTTAAGTACAAACCCAATTCCAAAAAAGTTGGGACACTGTACAAATTGTGAGTAAAAAAGGAATGGAATAATTTACAAATCTCATAAACTTATATTTTATTCACAATAGAATATAGATAACATATCAAATGTTGAAAGTGAGACATTTTGAAATGTCATGCCAAATATTGGCTCATTTTGGATTTCATGAGAGCTACACATTCCAAAAAAGTTGGGACAGGTAGCAATAAGAGGCCGGAAAAGTTAAATGTACATATAAGGAACAGCTGGAGGACCAATTTGCAACTTATTTGGTCAATTGGCAACATGATTGGGTATAAAAAGAGCCTCTCAGAGTGGCAGTGTCTCTCAGAAGTCAAGATGGGCAGAAGATCACCAATTCCCCCAATGCTGCGGCGAAAAATAGTGGAGCAATCTCAGAAAGGAGTTTCTCAGAGAAAAATTGCAAAGAGTTTGAAGTTATCATCATCTACAGTGCATAATATCATCCAAAGATTCAGAGAATCTGGAACAATCTCTGTGTGTAAGGGTCAAGGCCGGAAAACCATACTGGATGCCCGTGATCTTCGGGCCCTTAGACGGCACTGCATCACATACAGGAATGCTACTGTAATAGAAATCACAACATGGGTTCAGGAATACTTCCAGAAAACATTGTCGGTGAACACAATCCAATGGCACATTCGCTGTTGCCGGCTAAAACTCTATAGGTCAGAAAGAAGCCATATCTAAACATGATCCAGAAGCGCAGGCGTTTTCTCTGGGCCAAGGCTCATTTAAAATGGACTGTGGCAAAGTGGAAAACTGTTCTGTGGTCAGACGAATCAAAATTTGAAGTTCTTTTTGGAAAACTGGGACGCCATGTCATCCAGACTAAAGAGGACAAGGACAACCCAAGTTGTTATCAGCGCTCAGTGCAGAAGCCTGCATCTCTGATGGTATGGGGTTGCATGAGTGCGTGTGGCATGGGCAGCTTACACATCTGGAAAGGCACCATCAATGCTGAAAAGTATATCCAAGTTCTAGAACAACATACGCTCCCATCCAGACGTCGTCTCTTTCAGGGAAGACCTTGCATTTTCCAACATGACAATGCCAGACCACATACTGCATCAATTACAACATCATGGCTGCGTAGAAGAAGGATCCGGGTACTGAAATGGCCAGCCTGCAGTCCGGATCTTTCACCCATAGAAAACATTTGGTGCATCATAAAGAGGAAGATGCGACAAAGAAGCCCTAAGACAGTTGAGCAACTAGAAGCCTGTATTAGACAAGAATGGGACAACATTCCTATTCTTAAACTTGAGCAACTTGTCTCCTCAGTCCCCAGATGTTTGCAGACTGTTATAAAAAGAAGAGGGGATGCCACACAGTGGTAAACATGGTCTTGTCCCAACTTTTTTGAGATGTGTTGATGCCATGAAATTTAAAATCAACTTATTTTTCCCTTAAAATGATACATTTTCTCAGTTTAAACATTTGATATGTCATCTATGTTGTATTCTGAATAAAATATTGAAATTTGAAACTTCCACATCATTGCATTCTGTTTTTATTCACAATTTGTACAGTGTCCCAACTTTTTTGGAATCGGGTTTGTAATTTTGTAATGTAAAATAAAGTTGTTATTATTATCATCAAATATTCATTTTGTATTTTACAAAAAAGGTGTACATGTGAATGTGTCAATAAATTATTGAAATATTAACATAAATCTCAGGGGACTTGAGGTGAATATTTTAGGTGTTGGGTTCGACTGAGAATAGAGTGTGGTATTCCGGGTTTGTTTTGAGCTACTGGATCTGCTGTCCTGTAGAATAAGGATCTGCGGGGCCGCGTGGCGCAGCTGGAGGGATCTCAGCGCATCGGTCAGGACGCCATCATCTCCAAACTGCAGCTGCACCTGCAGGAGCTGGAGGAGAGGCTGCTGGGAGAGGAGAGGTGAGGAGACTCAGCAGACGCTCCTGATTCACAGCGTCTCCTCTGCTCTGATGCTCTGTTCTCTGTCTGCGCTCAGAGAGAAGAGCGAGCTGCAGCAGCTGACCCGCAGACTGGAGCGCCGCATGAAGGAGCTGACCATGCATCTGGAGGAGGAGAAGCTCTCACTGCAGGACCAGAGAGATCAGGTGACCATCATCTGTCCTGTACTACAGAATCAGTGCTCCCGCTGAACATCAGAGCCGCTCTTTCCCCTCCCAGACCCAAACAACTGCAAATAATGAGGCCCTTCTTCAGGATTTTATTCTTGCTTTTCACATTCATACAGTTTTGTCTAATCACTAGGACGTGTTTCTCAACACTCGGGTCAGTTTTTCTCAACACTCTTCTCCCAATGAAGTACAACAGCATTTGTGTGGATAAACTGGATCATTTATCATTGCTTTGGCACAGAATGAATGAAAAAATATTTCAATGACATGAACTCTTCTCACTCAAACTTTTCTCGCCAAAACTCCGAACCTACAGGCCAGTTTACATGCTCTTCGCAAAACTGACTAACGTGAGAGAGAGCGACTGTGTGTGTGTGTGTGTGTGTGTGTGTGTGTGTGAGAGCGAGAGAGACAGTGTGTGTGAGAGAGAGAGAGAGAGAGTGTGTGTGTGTGTGTGTGTGTGTGTGCATGAGAGAGAGAGAGAGTGTGTGTGTGAGAGAGAGTGTGTGTGTGTGAGAGAGAGAGAGAGAGAGTGTGTGTGTGTGTGTCTCTCCCAGGATCAGGAAACAGTCCTCCATAAAATGTGCTGCACACTTCTGGATATTTGGGTTGAACTGTTCTGGAACAGTGTTGTACATACAACTTAACCACTGATTTCTAGTCGTGTCCTCTTTTGGAAGACCAAACAAAGTAGTTTCGCTTTCACAACGAATCACACAGCGTCTTCACGACATGGCAGCAGCGGCAACAATACTACAGCGAGAATAAAAGTTACACCTTCTTTCTTTGCCTGAACATTTGGGCGGCATTATGCAAATCTTCCCACATAGTGAGGTAGACATGTGGGGGCGTGTTAGAACGAGGCCTTTTAGGTAGGCGTGGTTGACTCTGAACTTTTATAAAGAATATCTCTTTGGATTTGAGACTTTAGTCTTTGCAGCTTTACAGATCTTCTTTATGCATCAAGAGCTTGTAACACTCCAAAGAGAAAGGAAAAAATTTAATTGCATCATATGACCCCTTTAAACCTGAACACACACAGACTCATGGGGACTCGTGTGATGGTGGGGACCTAAATTGAGGGTACATAAGCTTATAAATCATACAGAATTAGTTTTTTTTATATTGTAAAAATGCATAAAGTTTTCTGTGAGGGGTAGGTTTAGGTATAGGGCGATAAATAGAATAGAAAATACAGTTTGTACAGGATAAAAACCATTATGCCAATTGAGAGTCCCCACAAGGATAGTGCACCAGACGTTTGAGAGTGAGTGTGAGAGAGAGTGTGTGTGAGTGTGTGTGTCAGCAATCCTGTCCTGTTTTCATTTTCACACAAACGAGAGAGAGATCTGCTCTCAGACGGGAGCGACACACACCTCACACTCGGCCTATGTGTCTGCAGCTGTCTCTGCGTCTGAAAACCCTGAAGCGTCAGCTGGACGAGGCCGAGGAGGAGATTGAGAGGCTGGAGAACAGCAGGAAGAAGCTGCAGAGAGACGTGGAGGAACAGCAGGAGCTCAACGATCAGCTGAAAACGGAGATCTGTGGCCTCCGCAACCATATCAGGTGAGACGCGCGTGGGTCCATGCTTCATCACACACACACACACACACACACACGCACGCACACTCGCACTCGCACGCACTCACACACACGCACGCACGCACGCACACATCCACACACACACATGCACTCAAACGCACACTCAAACACACGCACACACACGCACTCAAACACACACACTCTCACACACACACACACACTCACATTCACGCACACACACACACTCACACACTGACCTCTGACCCATCTGAACATCTGCAGGCGCAACACGAGACCCAATAAAGCACAGACTCCAGCTGATGAAGATGATGAGGAGGAGGAAGAAGATGAGACTGACGCAACACTACATGCAAAATAACTGCTGAACATGTAACTCAAGTAATATATCATCCACATTTACTAATGTTACTATGGTAAAACGAGTTGTCACTCTAAACGAGGTTGATTACATGAGCAGTGATGGATTATGATTTTACAGCAGTGAAGCTGCTGATCACATGACTGAACAGACGCTCTGATATAAACGCCTGTAACATGAATCCAGTCACATTCGGCTCTAATTCTTCCTCATGTCATTCATGTCCATTTGATCAGAAGTTACTGTGAAAAATAAATATGGTTTGTATGTTTTAATGAAGCTGACTTAGCCGTAATATATATATTGTTTATTTATTGTAGCAAACGATATATATAAATATTAGTACTATCAATTGATTAAAAAATGATTAACTAATTAATCTCACATTGTTTCTGAAATTAATCACGATTAATCCCACCTAACATTAAAGTTTTTATAAATACTTTTACATTGCAACAATTTCACATTCAATCTTCAAATTAATGTACAAACAACATAAAGACATTATATTTTTAATAATTGTTTAATGGCATCTTTTTTTATGATTAAAGGCCAGTATGTATCACTGATATTAATACTATTGATGTCTCTAGGAAATCGTTTTTTTCTCCCTAATATTTAACCATTAACTAGCCATTCAACATTACAGTATAATTGAGAGCTATCAATTTTAACATTTATTAGACTTAAAATAACTTCTAATTTATGTGAACTTAAAACAATCTTCACATAAACCCATTATAATAAATGTCATATTTAGCTACTTGTGCCCTTCAGTCAGTGGCGCAAAAACGGTGTTTGGAGTAAATGCAGTGCATAGGAACGCCACACATAGGGGGGCGCCATTTTGCCAAAATCATTCTGTGAAAATCTTCTTTAATAAAACGTTATAAATAATCAAAAGCTTAGTTATTCAAAAGAATTGATGCAACATTTTTATTTAACGGTTTTTAGTATTTTAATGAGTTCAAAAATGTATTTATTAAAAAATTATTAAGACGCGGAACGGCCGTATCTCTTTGCGACTACAACAAACGGGAGACTTTTCAGATACGCACCTCAGCTTGCCCTATGCACCAGGCGCGAGTCAAACAAGCGCAGAAAAGGTAGGTTACAGGTGCCAAATGAGCTTCAGTAGACCAACAGGGAGCTGCGGTCTAATGACATTTTGCTATATGTCAGTAAAACAAACTTTCCTGTCCTGTCAGCCGTTTTACTGCGCTCACGGCGCACGCTCTTTAACTGTACGCGAAAATGAGGCGCACGCTCACTTCATAAATAAACCACGAGCGTACATCGTCAGTTAAGTCACGAAATTACCAAAATGGCGATTAAAGCTGCAAAACTGTGCATGCATTACACTTAAGTCTCTCAAATGCATGCAGCCTACTGAAATATTCTGCAATTCGAGATCACAATAGGGCGCACGATGATAGGCTATATAATTTTTTTATTTATAATTTAATGCACAAGTAGGCCAAATGGCAGCACAGTGCAGTTAAATGTACTAGGAAATATGCGCTAATTTTTCGTTAATTTTTAAAGTACGAAAAAGAAAATGAAACTATATTTAAATGCATGAAAAAAAACGTATTTTACATTCTTACATTTGTACAGAGCTCGGTTTAGGTTTGACAAAATTGCTGCAATGACTACAGTTATCTGCATGTCTCATCCATGAGTGGGCCTATGCAATGATGGAGAATAAGATTTTGGGGGTGTTAAGACCCAGAACCAAGCTGACTGAGCAATAAAGCTATAGTGAGCCCTTTTATTAAAATACCTGGAGCCTAGGTAATACAAAAATAAAACAAAACTTGTCATTCACTCAGTATTACTAGATGTAATTCACAACTATCTCAATTACAATTATACAAATTAATTGTATTCAGTTGTGTTTTAGGCACTAAAATGGTCCAGTACTTTATAGTCAAATCCATTTCTATATTGAAATAATGAAGATTTCTGTGCCACCCCAGACTGGTTGCTTCCCCCTTCCTGGCCACCCCTAAACATCCTGGCACTGCCACTGCCTAAGAGGGCAAATATCAGATCATTTCTGAGTATCTCTATTGCTCAAAAAACAAACAAAAAAACACCTGTTTGCAAATGGGCGTTTGATTTACATTTGAGAGGAACTAAGATTGTAAACAAGGATACAAACAAGCCAGCTTTCACTGAAAATTGCCATTTTTAATTCACAATAGGCCATCTGTGTGATTCAAGTAGATTCAATGAGTTGCTACTTCATACTTCAATACAAAACAATGCTGAACTTTGACAAAAATTTATTTTTAAAATGTTATAATAGTGATTTTATAATGTCTAAATATAAATCCATTAGCAAAACATGTAAAAAGAACTATATTGCAGAGTGGAAATGGTAAAGGAGACAATAAATGATCCTCTGCTGTCATTTAGTGGTCATAGTGGGAATCATGACATTCATTTTAATAGTATTTGTTTTTCGGGTGAAATCTTGGCAGAAATCTTCCCCTTAGCATGGCAAATTTTCCATGAATTATCTCTTTAAAGGGGGGTCCTATTAGGGCTGGACGATATGGCCAAAATTTATATCACGATATATTTCATATTGCAGAGTGGAAATGGTAAAGGAGACAATAAATGATCCTCTGCTGTCATTTAGTGGTCATAGTGGGAATCATGACATTCATTTTAATAGTATTTGTTTTTCGGGTGAAATCTTGGCAGAAATCTTCCCCTTAGCATGGCAAATTTTCCATGAATTATCTCTTTAAAGGGGGGTCCTATTAGGGCTGGACGATATGGCCAAAATTTATATCACGATATATTTCTTAATTTCTGTCGATACGATATAATTCCGATATCGATATGAACACTGTTAAAAAAGCCTCATAAAAACGGCCAAGAACGGCCACAACAGATGTCTGTAACTACAAACTTATGAAAAATTAATTTGCCAACTCTATGAAACCTACTCCTATAAAACTATATAATATTTTAGGAAAAAAATGGCGCAAATAAATAAATGTTCACCTTTTATTGGTATTTAGCCTTCATACAAACAAGAAATGTGAAATCACTGTCAAATAAATCTCAGACTCTCCTTATTAATATTAATATTTTTTACTTCAAACTATAGGCTAACATACCAGTCAAAAGTTTTTGAACAGTAGGATTTTTTATGTTTTTAAAAGAATTCTCTTCTGCTTACCAAGCCTGCATTTATTTGATCCAAAATACAGCAAAAACAGTAATATTTTGAAATATTTTTACTATTTAAAATAACAGTTTTTTATTTGAAAATAATAATTTATTCCTGTGGTTTCAAAGCAGAGCTTTAGCATCATTACACGTCACATGATCCTTCAGAAATCATTCTAATATTCTGATCTGCTGCTCAAAAACATTTATTATTATGATGTTGAAAACAGCGGAGTAGATTTTTTAAGTTTCTTTGATGCATAGAACGTTCAGAAGAACAGTATTTATCTGAAATAGAAATCTTTTGTAACATTATAAATGTCTTTATCATCACTGGGTGCTGTGTGTACATTAATGAGGAAAAAAATTAACTTAAATGATTTTAGCAAATGGCTGCAATATAACAAAGAGTGAAAAATTTAAGGGGGTCTGAATACTTTCCGTACCCACTGTATATATATTCAAATTACCTAACTAAAAAGTGAGCAATAGTAAATGTGTTTGAAAATAAAAATAATAATAAATAAAAAAAGGGGATGTTATGTGAAACAATTTTCTGTTTTCTTCTTCTTGTTTTTACTTTTCACTTTTTTCCCTATGGTATTAAAAAAGGGGGAAGGTGGTTCAAACCTTTGTCCCTTTTTTCACTCCTTATGAGTTTGTATCCTTCCATGCATAAGTTAGTAATGAGCCTTTGGTCAATTACTTAGTTTTAGAGGCTACTAGAATACAGGAGGGTGCCGACACTGATCTTGCATACCCCTCGGCAAATATGCAGTTGCGCCCCTGTCTTCAGCAAGTAGGATATATACAAAAACTGAATAAAGTTATCGAACACTAAATTCTAATTTAAATTAGAATTTAAGACCTCCGCTCCTAAAGACTCTGTAATGAGCTGAGGAGTTGGAGGAACCGGTTGTGTTAGATGAGGGAGACAGTTCTGGAAACCACTGCATTTCAGAGACATGTTCTTAAATTGGACTCATAACAAATACATACATACATGCACAGTTTTTAGGCAGCTGTATTCGCCTTTTTTGGAAACTTCATGACTTAACTGACGACATATCTACGATGTTGCATGCTCGTCATTTCTTTCGCGCTTTGATATGAAATGATAGGCTACAGCATGTGTGTGCATTTGAATGAGCACGAGCTATGAGCACTGTTGCTGTTCTGCGCTCGTTTGGCTCGCACCTGGCGCAGAGGGGAACTTGGAATGCGTGTCTGAAAAGTAAAGACGTTCTGCATCTAAATAAAGGCAATTCTTGTCAAGAAAAGCAGTTGTGAGGCGGGTGGCAAACCATAGCTCCGCCGCCGCGTTAATTGCGTTAAATGTTTTTAATGCATTAAAATGAAAAAAATAATTGCCTGCGTTAACTCGTTAATTTTGACAGCACTAATACACACACACACACACACACACACACAATTGTACTGCATGATTACCATGGTATACCAATCAAAAGGAGCTGCATTTATTTGATCAACAATACAGTAAAATTTAAATATTTATTTTGTCAATTCAAAATTTCTGTTTTCTATGTGAATATCTGTTAATATGTAATTTATTTCTGTGATCAAAGCTGTATTTTCAGCATCATTACTCCAGTCTTCAGTGTCACATGATCTTCAGAAATCATTCTAATATGCTGATATGCTGCTCAAGAAACATTTCTGATTATTATCAATGTTGAAGACAGTTGTGCTGCCCAATTTTTTTGGAAACCATGATACATTTTATTTTTCAGCATTTATTTGAAATATAAATATTTTGTAACATTAGAAATGCATTTACTGTCACTTTTGATCAGTTTAATGTGTCCTTGATTAATAAAAAAGTATCTATTTCTTTAAATATTACCAAAAACAGTTGTGTATAGCATATTTCAGTGGTTCTCAAACCTGTCCTGGAGTACCCCCAGCCCTGCACATTTTGTATGTCTCCCTCATCTATCACACCTGATTCAACTCATCAGCTCATTATTGGGGACTGCAAGACCTGAAGTGGGTGTGTCAGATATAGGGAGACATGCAAAACGTGCAGTACTGGGGGTACTTTATGGAGAGGTTTGAGAACCACTGGTCTATTTGAAAGT